GATTATAATATTTGATTTAAGTATAAGTATAATATTCACTGTTTATATAAAATTTAATGATTAAAATAAAGAGATCTAATTTTGTTAATATAAGTTATATGAATTCTTATACCGTAAATAACTTTATGTCAATCATAATTTTATTTTTTTTATTTAACTGTTCAATTATATTTATATATTATCTTGATTATTTATGTTAATTTTGATTAAAATTGAATAAGTATAATAATGCAATCAAATAGATTTTTTTTTATATATTTCAAAATAACATATTGTTTTTATTTTATTTTATTTATTGAAATTTTTAATCCAATAAATAATTTTATAATTAAATTTAAAGTTTGTAAAATGAGTTGCCTAACCCATTCGGGTTGGCCTGTAACGAGTAGCATACAATTAATTTGGACTCATAAAAATTGTATTCAAAACAGGTGAAATTTATTTTTAAAATTTTTTTTATAAGCTTCATTCATGTCTAGTTTGATCAGATTGAGATAAAAAGTTCATATTTATTTCAGACTCGAGTATAAATCTAACTCCTATATTTATCATACGGGTTCAAGTCAGTTATTTGAATAAACTCATTTTAATTACTTATTAAAAAATTATTAAATAATTTATATTATATTTATTTATCTACAAGATATGTATAAAAGATGTTAGTCTATCAAATTATGTTACATTGTTAATTATTTTGTATTAAAAATAACTGAATATAGGTAGGAATTAAACTTAAATAAGAATAAATTTATAGATATAATAAAATTAAAAATTAAAACAATGTAAATAGATAAATAAGTGTGAATAATTCCATGTCATCTAATAATATATATCTATCTATATTGTCACATCATTTAAGTTGATCGCTCCTATATCACTACACATTAAATAATATGACTAACATATTCTTAAATCACAATACAACACTTCACACGTACAAATCATGCAAAACTACAAATTTAATTCAAATTCTAATTTGAAACAACATTTAATTGTATTTAAGCAGAAATCGATACACCATATCATTGCATATGCTTTATTGATTTCGACTCGCAAGATAAAAAGAGTGAAGGGAGTGAATAAAACGATTTATTTTTCTTCTTTATGTTTATACTTTATATATCTTTCCAAAAGCAAACAAGTACTAAGAATCTTAAAATATTCACAAATCAAAATTCAAAATAAAGAGATTGTTTCTTTCTAACGAAGACAATGGGATTTGCTCCCATTTCTATATTCAATGATTGGCATGGAGGATGGTACACATAGGTAAACTTTCTTTTATATATATATATATATATATACTTTTTTTTTCTTTTCATTTGTTTTATCTACCCACTTTTGTTTTCTTTGTTATATATATATTTTCTGTGACCCTACCTATGCATATTTTATTGGGATAGTGACACTAATTTTCGGTAGTTATATTTACATGTATAGCCCAAAAGATTACGATATGTGCAACACATAAAATCGCCCCTTTGGAATAGACAATAAGGTCCACGAACTGTATTGTTTGTGGTTCCACTGTCGCATCATATATAATAAGTATTCAAGTAAGTTAGGTAGGTGCATGTCCCATTTGGTAATTGGGTTCGGCTTCTCCATATTGAACTGTTCAGTTGCCCGATCCAGCTCCACACAGTAGTTTCTTTATCCATACACATTTTGTTTTTCTTTTGATAATTCTTACATGAAGTCCATCTATTCTTAGAATTAAGATGAGAGTGAGTCTTAAAATTATTAGATGTAAAAACATTCATGATGAATACTGTTTAACAGGTTTTGGATTTGGATACGAATGAGTATCAGTAAATTTAGATGGGTATAATAATACTTGTATTCATTTATTTTTGCATGCATGTGCATACATATATAATCAAAATTTATATTTTAGACAAATGATTTTGTACATATATTATGCTATACTTTGATATTTTAGTATATTTTATTTAACATTATATAAATAATTTTGTTATAGTTTTATATCTTACTTGATGTATTTTAAGGAATATTTTTTATTTTATAATTGCATTTATATTTTATTAATTCAATTAAAAAATTATGAACGACAAAGTTTAGTATGAAAATTTAAATACTCAACAAAACAAGACAGACAAGTCATTCCTACTTAAAACCCAACATTACTTTATGAGATATGTTATTTCAACCATTAATTTAATGAAAAAGTATCACAATATTTACCTTAACTACCATGAAATAACTAATATTTAACATAATTTAAAGTGTAGAAAAGATCTAAATCAAAACAAGAGATTGTTTATGTAGATAGAAATAATTTTAATTTACAGCTTATGATAGGCAATGTTGCTGGGCTTGTATAGGAATAAAACTATACAGTAAGATCCTAGAGAGAATTATTATAAGACTCATAAAGCAAGCAGTTATCTATCTATCTAAAGCCTAATAATTTGCTTTATGTCAAATTGCTTTCTTCTTTCCTTCTCAAAGTAGGCAGAGAGAAAGGAAGAAGAGAGGCTCAATGTCCTTTAATCACTTTAAAATGAAGATGCTCTGTCCATCTTCCATGCGCCTATTGGACTTGTCTTTGGCTGGTGATGCATCATATCCACAAAAAATTTAAAATAATAAAAAAAAGCCATGCTATTATTGACATGCTGATTCGTACATAAAAGACACAGTACAGCTTTGGATGGTCAACTTCAACAAGAGCTAAAGCTTTTTTGTTATATGCTTCACACTTTAGATTTCTTTTTTCTGAAATATGAAATTAATTCTTATATTTAAATAGATATAAATTTTTCAAATTTTTTATCCTTCCAAAATTGATGTGTCACAATTACTTATTATTACATCACGTTAATAAGATAGACTAAAACAAATGATTTGTAGGAACATAAAAGCTAAAATAAAAAAAAGTTCAAACATAAAAATCATTTTCATATTTCAGAGATTATTTTTCTCCCTCTCTCTTTTGGTTTCTAATGTAATGATTATAGGTGAAATAAAAAAAAACAACACCGGTCTTTAGGTGATGCTGGGCCATCATTTTGCTTAGTTACTTCCTTGCAACTAGCTCTTCACATGCATATAAATATGTTTTTGTTTTCTATTTCTTTGTTATTTTAAATAATTCAAGTGTGGAGGCATGGGCAGAAGGTGCCAAATGTTTAAGTTCGTCTTTCAATAATTTATTAGTAATTGAAAATAAAATTTTATTTTGTTTTGCAATAAGTCATCAAAGATATGATTCCGTGAAATCAGCCAAAATGGCGATCGGTGGAATGTAGATTATCACAAAAATTATGTCATCCTGATGTTGCTATTTTCCTTAAAATTCTATACTGATGATCGATTATATTGTAATATGTTAGAATTTGAAATGATTCAAAAATTTTAATTTAATTTTTTTTATATTAACAAATTTTAAGAAAAAAAAAATCAGTGGTCTAATTTAAGGTAGGGATTTTTTTTAATTCAAATAGTATTTACTAAAAAACTACATTTATCTTAAGAAACAAATTGACTTATAATGATTTGTTAAATGTTAAACTCTATTTCATTTCGGTGAATTAGTAATTTAGGATTACATATAATAGTAGATTTTGTTCCTCTAGAAAAATTGTTGATTTGATTATTATAACAATGGCATGATTAAATATGGAACGAGTCCCTTTTCCAGGATTGGACGCCCGGGCTATCAAAAGCACTCATAATATTCCATTAAAACATGATCCATATTTTCATTTAAATTGAAAAATAACTTTTTTAATAAATATGGAAAATTATAACATGATTAATGATTATTTTCATCATGTGCCACATAATTGATTAATTAATTGATCTTCCTATAATTGAATTTAGACCAAAAGGTTGGCACTTATAATTAAATACAAAAATCTCCTGTTATTAATTTTTTTGGTCATGTGATGATATATATTAATAATTTAAAAAATAGTTCGCCAATGAGTATTTTACTTCTTATAATTAACCCATAAATATTTTCAACAACCTCCCTTGAATTTAAGTAAATTTTGTCAAAATTGTAGCTAACTAGAAAAGTTGTGTAGCTGTTCTTTCATGAGATCGCAATTCTTTTAACTTAAACCACTTTGACTTTTCGATCGAAGAATCAAGTATTTCAATAATGCTCCGCATAGCTCACAGAATTGATTATCACCCAATTGATTTGCTTATAGATTAAGCATGTTTGTTAGAGCACTATAATGATTTGCTCTATCCTTATGAATTAATTTGATGGTGCTATCAAATTTTTTACTCGTGTCTGTCTCAATCAAAATATTCAAATAGAAAATGTGAAGAAGAGGAGAACACATAAATCCACATAATCAATTAAAAATTTATGTAATTTTTTAAAAGATTCATATAATTTATATATATATATATATATATATATATATATATTTTTGTTTTTTATTTAGTTTAATTCAGATCCGATTTAGGTCGCGCCTAAATGTAAGTGATGAGTTTATTATTGGAGATTTTTACATACACAAAAATTTAAATTTAAAATCTTTCTTAAACAATATCGAATCGTTTGCTATTCAAATTAACTTCTATTTATATAATTTATATATTTTAATTTTAATTGTTTATGACGATAAAATTAAGCGATAATAATAAGTTTTTTCGTTACCAAATATTAAGACATTGTTTTAAATGAATTTTTTCATCACTTACATCTATTTTTTAAAAGCACTTGCGCCTATTTTTATGTTTTTTCTTTCTTTAAGTCACATCTATGACCTATACTTTAAAATATGAGAACACCGTAGAGTATCCTCCTTGAGTGTCCACAGAATGTTCACATTGACACCTACATTTTCAATCGAAGCCAAGTAATATATTAAGTTGAAAGGGTTAAAAAAATGCACACACAAAGACATAATTAAAATCTCAAAACTCTTGATAAAATTTACTATTTGCTTTGATAAAACAACATAAATTTGTACATCGCTCTCGCTTTGGCTTACCTGTTCTAAAATCTCAATCCCCCAACAAACATTTTGATTTACACTGATCTGTACATATAAACTACCTTTCTTTATTTGAAGGCCAAAAAATGAAACCAAAAACAGCAAAAATTCCTAACCATTCTACAACATTACACGTGCGATTTGTGTGTAACCCCTTTCCTCTCTATGCCTTGCTTTGATTTCTTCAGCACATCTTAAGGTCCTCTCAATGTGGTACCCTCCTCCAATGCTAACTTCCCTCTCCAAATGGCAGCAATAGCTCTCAAATACACTCACATTCACATGCAATTTGAAACCCATCAAGAAAAGAAATTCAAGCTCCAACTCATTCAATTCATTTTTTGTCAATCCCCCAACTCTAGCAAAGTATGAATTCCTGAAATTCCTGCCACATAAGAAGAAAAAGAAGCCACTTTAGTATCACATCATGCCCTGTTTTCAATACAAGAAATTTTAAAAACGCAAAGATGGATACAACAAAAAAAGGGACCAATTATCACACATAATAACAACATCCACCAAAACTAGGTGACCTAACAAAATGTCCATTTCCCTGGCTGTTAGCTAGTATTGTCAATGATTGAGACCGAAAGAAACAAACTTTGTCTCAATTTAACAAACCTATTACCAAATTATAATCAAAAACAAGTTTCAAATTTGATTTTAAAAAAACTCTTGATAATCAGTGTCTTTAAAGAATCAATCAAAGATTTATTTAAAATCACTGAGTGTATATTAATAATTTTTTTAAGTTAAAATTTTTATTATTTATATTTTAAACAAAATTAGATATTGGTTAGCATTTTCCTAAAAAAAATTATATCTGTGAAAATTCCTCTGAGAAGATAGACAAAGAAACAAGGGGGGAGAAGAGAACTTACATATCTTCTACATACTTAGAAGCCACCATTATGGTTGTTATGAGAAGTCTATGAACATTTCTGGCATTGATCCGAAACCAAGGATTGTTTTGGCAGAATCTGTCAATATAGACATAGGCCACAACATACACCGATGGTCCTGCCCTTGTGTACCTGAAAATTCTCTCTAGATAGGATTGGATGGTCATATCAGGAATCTCTCTACAATCAAAGATGTTTGTTCTAATTGCTTTGGACAAAGCACCAGAACACTTGTTCACAATCCTTTGTGTCCTAGCCATACTCCTCTCAATCAGTGAAGCCAGAACATTTATCACTAATGGGGTGTTTGAATCCTCTTGGTATGAATAAGAATACAAATCATAGCGTAGCTTTCTTGGGGATATTGTAATAGAAGAAGCCATGAAAAAATGAATTTTTTTTGCTCTACAGAAGAAGGTTTTGAAAGGGATTGGTTTAAGCTCCCAAGTCCAATGGGGGGTATTTGTTGTTGAAAAATAAGCCGCAAGTAATTGGGGTTGTGTTAGTGTAGAAGAAGGTTTGAGATGTGAGATTTATATATAAAGGAGAATGGAGTTGGCACTAGGGTGAGTGGAGGGGAATTGGAACTATTGGTAGAGGGTATAAAGAAAGAGGGATATGATCTTTTATTGTTTTCTATTATATTATTATTTTGTGTTATTTTATTTTATTTTATTTCTATGAGAAAAAATGGGGTTTTTTGCCATTTGGAGTTAGGGATGGTGGGTGGAAGCTTGATGATTGAAAAATGTAAAAAATGGAAACTATTAAGATATGAGTGGCACCTCTTTATGATGGCAAAGTACAAACGGCACCAGCTAAGCTCTCTCTCTCCTTGTCATCTCCCTCTCTACTTTGTATTAAAAAACAAGACGGTGTCTTCCCCCATGTTCTTCACAAGTTTTGGGCGCATGAAAGCCCCTTAAATTTGAGCCATTGATCTTGCTTTTAAAATAATAAATGGCAAAGAGTAATGGCCTAGAACATGCCGACTTGGCAATTATTATCCTTCAATTATTTATCATTTAACCCATTAGTTGTTTCTATTTTTAATTTTACTCCACTCTAGTGCTGTAGTGCCTCTCCCTTCCATCTTGTGAGAAGCTTACATTGCGAGCAGCATTGTAGATTCAGACTAACTAGGGAAATTTAGGCAGCAGAACAATCGTTACCTAGGGAAATTGATAATAATTAATATAACCTTCCAATATGGTTATTCTGAAAAGGTTTTGTTAATGTATAGGAGTCAAAACAGATTTTTCAAGTGTGCATATTCTAGCCCTGGGACTTCAGAGCTCTTTTGGCTTGCAGGAAAATTTAATTATGGGCACTGATGGAGTCAAATTATATGTTGAAATGTCAGGAAAATATAATCTTATTTCTTATGAAGAAAGAATAGTATGATAAAATTTAGAATAGATTACATTCTCCATTCTTAAAATTGATTTTTTTTTGCTCTTAGTTAGGTGAATGTCTGTAACATTTGACTCAATTTCAATGTAAATGAGCCTGCTAGAAATATTTTTCTGTCATTGTGATTGTTGACATCATTGATAATTAATTTTGAACATCTATTATTAATTTTATAATCTTATGAGAAAAATTAAAAAATTTAGATAAAATTATAAAGTTAATAATAACAATATTTAAAACTTTATTTTACGTTAAAAAATACCAAAATTAATAATAGATGATACTAAAAACTGAAAAAATAGTTAACAGAAATTTGTAAAAAATATAAAACACCATCAGGAGACATATTTATCATTATTAGAGTAGAGAAGTGTATATTTGAAAATAAAAGGAAGTAAAGTATTTTAAACATTCCTTTTAAAAAATATAATATGTTCTAAGATTTAATATCACAAAAGTAAAATCAAAGACAATAAACTTAAATGACAATATATATATATATATATATATAGTAATAACTCAAAAAGTATGAAATATGAGGGAAGATGTGCCACCTTATAGTCAGACTCAGATTATGAGAGTGCAGCAAAGGACTACTAAAATGTAAAACACAAAACATAAGAGGTTAAAAAAATAAAAAATAGAGTGGCTTTATACTGAATCTTCGAAACATGGTAAAGGAACAAAAATGTCATGGCTGAATGTTGATGACGTGCACCCAAACATGAAATATCGAAAGGAATAAGCAAACGTAGATTTGGCTCATGTCGTCAACAATAGTCATCCATTAATTCTTTTGCAATTACAAAATTCAGGAGGATAATTTGTTGATCAGTTATATTGTTTAAATATTTAAAAATTAATATTATACGTGATAGTGTATTTGTTTTTTTGTTAATTTACTTTTTCGGTTTGAATTTAAATATTTAAAATAAGAAATTTTTCATTAAAAAATATTCTTCATTATTTGTATGTTTTTATATAATAAATATTTTTTAATAAAATTTTATTATTTTTATTTATTTAATAAATTTTATTTTTAATACATTTTTATTTGTCGTTGATAAATAGTATGTAGTTCTGTTCTAAATTTTTAGCTAAATTTGCAGTTTTTATCTTTCTTTTTTTTATATTATGTAAATTTTAGTTTCTTTAATTTATATTATGTACAATTTACTCTCTTTACATTTTTTAAAACTAATTAAGCCTTTTCAGTTTTAAAATTGTATGAATATAATCTCTTTGTCAAATTTTTCTCATAAAATACTCAAGTTCTAAAAAAAATAATTAAAAATAATACTCAATTCCTTATTGCCCCTAAAATTTTAGTAAATTGAATATGAACTTAAATTATTTTAAACCTTCTCAAAACATATCAATCCAAATGTCGAAGTTTTGTTAAAATATCCCTGATCTTACAACATAATTTTGTTTCCACTTTCCAAAGTGCATGAAAATTTCACTAAATTTTTTACTTTTAAACATTTAGGATCACTTTAAGTTGATTAAAATTAACGTAGAAACTAAATTTATATAAATTTAAGGTAGATAATTAATTAATTTTAAAAAATCAAGTGACCAAAATTATACATGGACCAAATTAAAGAGACAAAAGTCATAATTAAACTCATTTTTCTGGATTCGGATTCTCTTCAGTCTGTAATTTTTTAGCAAAAATTGATTTTGGCTTAAATTAAAAAAGTTTACTTAAGCAAATTTAGTAAAAAAGTGATTTTTGTTTAAGCTAAAATTGCAAAAAAATTTAAAACTTCATCTTTTTTCTTTTTAAACTAAATAAAAGTTGAGAAATATTTGTGTCAGATCATGTGGTCACACCTTATGGTCATTAAATAAAAACTTAAGTGTTTTAAAATATATAATAATACAATTATTTTCCAACCAATTTCTCAAAGTTATCATTTTTATAATCTTTATCATTATTCTCAACAATTTAACTTGATTATAAATAGTTTTATCTCTTTGATGTTTAACACAAGTAGCACATTAAATAATACATTTGAAGTATTTGGTAGAATAAAATATATAAGAATTTTTTGTAACTAAGTAATTATCGATGAGAAACAATAAATTTCTTGAATTTTCTACAATTTAAAGAGAAAAAAGATGTTTTAAATTTTTTTATAATTTTATTTTAAGCAAAAATTACTTTTTTATTAAATTTATTTAAGCAAATTTTTTTTAACTTAACTTAAAATTAGTTTTTACTAAATTTACTTAAACAAATTTAAACTGTATACTGCAATTCCTTCCAAAATTAATTCCATTTTTCTTTTGAGATGAACAGTTTCACGGACATTGATTTTTCATTTAAATTCAAATTTTTATGTAGCGAAAAGGATCATCCTAGAATCTTACGAAAACAAATGTAAATAGTTGTGATTTCCTGTTTCTTAGAAGCTGCGGTCCCCGCCGACACTGAGGTAAAGGTTGAAGAAGATATATACGCTCCTTACACATAGCTGGCAGGTTATTGGGTGGGTGTTTTTGGACCTACAAAATTAAAGAACACCTAAATATAACTATAATTTAACAAATTATTAATATTTTAACAAATACTTTAAATTCAACTCATGTTAAATTTAATTCATATGAAGACAGGGAAGTATCATTTTCGTTTATAAATTGAGTAATGACCATTGACCCTTGCTTTGGAGATTTGTGCTGTGTAGTTCCAATTTCTAATACACGTGCAATGGACTTGACCCCTAATAAAATCGTACAATCTTGGCTTTGTAACTTGAGCTACCACGTGCATTAATCTTCTTCTTTCTTGTTTCCTGCGTCCTTCACAGGGGAAAATGGGAGAATTCTATATTACATAAGCCTATCTTTCATTGCTCATAGATACTTTGTTTTTGCAATGCATGCACAAATTTGGTTTTTAGTAGTTCGTAAAATATTTATAAAAAATTCTCATTAATAATCTTTAGACTTTATTGATAGTTAAATTCTTATTACATAAATGCTTAAATTATTGATATAATTAAAATTTTTAAGAAAAATTTATAAACAAATTCTTCTAAATATACATGAAAAGAGTTCGGCACATTTTCTCCCAACAATAATTTCTTAAGTATTTGCTTGTATTTTCCAACTCTTCGTGTTGCTGTAGGCTGCCTAATTATGAGGTTTGATGCAATCCAGAAAAATCACTTTGAAAGATGAGCTGGAGAACTTTAAAGAAAAAGGTTCAAAGATACATTTTTCTTTTTGAGAGGGAATTCGCACTAGTTGTCATAGGCATTCATACAAGTTCCAGCCTTATACGAAATTATTAAAGGCTTCTGAAATGCACATGATATAATCTAATAGAATATGTACAGTGGATAGCATGCTTAAAGTGCTAAAAATATGAGATTGGCATGCCTCTGACCAAGTTCCATTATCTATAGCTCATCGAGTCATGACATGATTAAGATCTCTCAAAAGAAATTGATTGGATGTGATCTTAGCATGCAATGAGTAGGAGAAAAATCAAAATATTGGATGGGAAGAATACGGTCGGATAAAATTTTAGATATATTTTTATAAAAAGAAAAATTAGTATAAAAAATAAATAATTTTTTAATAAGTTAAAAATATTTTATCTTATATTTTTTATTTTTTATTTAATTTCTCTAAAATTTGAAAAATAAATTATTTTTAACTTAGTAAAAATTTATATTATTTTTTTTCTTCTACATGATTTTTTTAGAAGTTTATCCGACTAAGAGTAGAGTACTAGGCTGGAGATGTATATGTAGTATTTAACTATTATTATCATTCACCAATTTCGTACGTGCCAATGCATTATTCATTCTTTAAATTAAAAGAAAAAAACCTCTACCACTACTAAGACCTGATATTGTAAGATTTTCAACCTGACATGCTAAGAGACAAGGTTTGTTTTTGGAAACATTCATGTATTCAAGATTCTACCCTTCCTTGATTGATTTATAGAGGCGATTCGATATCGAATTGCATGCAACCAAAACAAATTTAAATTAACCTGGATACACAAAAGACCATTACATAGTTTTTAGCATAACACATTAACACTTAATGTTTTTTTA